TAGAATAATACGTGAGGTCTATAAAAGAACCTGTAAGACCTTCTCGGAAGCCAATGGTTCCCTAATAAACAGCACAGGTTTAAAGGTACTATATCGGCAGGTAGGTACTAATCACATTCCAGGTGCGTCGTTCGTCGAACCATTTCGGGTGTTACCGTAACACAGGTGCGAGTTTTGAGAATATTAATTACAGATTTATGAATGCAGGTTATTTACACTTTATTTAGCCGGATTGTAAGAACGTATTGGACGTTCGTTGACCTAAGAAATAACCGTTTATTTTAGAACTCTTGATGGGTACTGATCAACGTGTACCTCGTAGCGTAATGTGTGTTGCATATAATAATAACAACGTTTATTCAAAGAAATATTACAAATATTTATAATTTAGGACAATTTTAACTTGATTATAAATAATATTACAAATAAAAACACTGTATGAACAACCGTGAAAAGTAGGTATCCTTAAAAGGTCTTGATACAGGTGTCTTGAAATGTTCGGGGTGGGGGAGGGGAGGGGGCAGTGCCATTAGCCAGTCCCTTTTTAGCATATTTTTTAAATGTTAGTGTTTTAGTTTCATCTCGGGAGGTGACATGGCTTCCATTTCCCCCCTCCCAGGAGCCACCCTTGTTTGAAAGGAAATTAAGTTATTATATACAGGGTGGCCACTTTTTTAATGGGATTGTATTAGTAATTTCGAAACCATACTAGTTAGAAAGTTGGTTAAATGGAAAAAAAGTTGCCTATTTAGAAGTATAATCTAGCGGTGGAAATTAATCCAAAATAGCAGGCCCGGTTCTTGAGATATTTCGAGAAAAGAAAATTCGATCTTTTCGGTTTTTTGGTTATCGTTCATTTATTTTTAGAATTAGCAAAAAATATTTTAAAGGTTTTTTATTTGATAGTAAATTTTCTTTGATTTGAAGTTTTCATATTTTGCATCAAACGTTTCGTATTCTCCGGACCACCCTCAAGTTATTTTTTTTATAAATATGGACCTGGATATTTTATAACATTATTTGAAATAACTTTTCATCCTGCATCCAGCGGTGTATTACACAATGGCATTCAATGACGGTTTTTGGGTAATATGGACCGTAATCCAAATTTTATTAAATTTACTCCTGGTTTCAGCCATCTTTAGTTGAATCGACATAATGTCATGCCTCTAGATAAAAAATAAAGTCAATTCTTACAAAATTTATGTAATTCTCCGAAAATCAAACAATTCATCAACAACAATAGTAATGTAGAAATTTTAAAACGCAATTACTGATAATAACAAGAAGAAATTCAGTTTTTGTAAGTCATAATCAAATTATTTGAAAAAATCAATAAAATTAATTGAGTAACAGTGGCGGCTCATGGGCACTAGCGGCAGTGGGGCACACACTGGAAAGGAATCCCGGGATTCGTTTTTCCCTTAGGTAAACAAGTTCTCCTCTTAATGAAAATTAAATATATTTCAGAACAATCAGTTGGGGCAATAACGATTTCTGAATGTGACTACAGGGAGCTAAATGTGACCACTCAAAATGTATTTAACTATGTATGTGGCTATTCAATCAAAAAATCATTACATATCCACTCTTGTGAAATTTGCGTACATTTCTCAGAAGAATGCAATTTACTTAACAATTCTAACTTGTTAACGCATTTTAAAGCATACGACTCTAAAGAAAAGGTGTTCGGCAATTTAAAATCTCCCAGTGAAAAATTTCTCTTTTTATTTTCAAATTAGAAAAAATATTTATATCTCTATTTGATAGTTTGTCAACTAAGCCTGGAATTTCCAACGCATACCTTTTTGAGATGAGCAAAATAGAATTTGGTCATCCCTGCTAACAATTTGCGAAAATGTACACCGTTAAATTGTTTATAAGACTCAGAATTTTTTATACTCTTAAATATGCAAACAGAGATTTGAAATCCTCGAAAAAGTCAGATAAAACCAAAAGAAAAATTAAAATTTTGTCCCATCTCTATTTTCAGATGTACAACATCTACAAATTTATATCCCGTCATAATAAATTTCACAAATTCACAAGTTCGGCGATATTTTGTAACCTAGGCGGTCTGACTAAACGTTCTACAGTCGCAAACTCTGCTGAAACTGGAGCCAACGCAATCGATCGTACTATTTCTTCCGCTGGATCTAGGAAGAAAGTGGTGGGAGCTCTAGGCTATTGCCACCGCGTATATTCGTATCTGGTGTAGGATAATCTGGGACAGCGCCCTGCTTCTGACTTATAATCCATCGCATGTGTTCATCTTTTGCTAAGCGATATTGTCGTTGTCCTTGTTTTTCGCATCGTAATGAGAGAGAAAACAACAGAGGCACACATTTACTGTGCCCTGTGCCCATCACAAAGCACGTATCTTCTAGAGACCCCACGCCAATGTTAAACTTTTAAACCAAATTAGCGCCACCATGTGTTTGGAGCTGGAACTAAAATGACAATTGACAGATGGCGGTAAATTCAAATTGTAATTTTTAGGAGTAGGTAGTAGTTTTAAATTAAATTGTAAATGATTTCCACATAAATTATTTTATAAAATAAAGTATGGAACTAGTAAGTTCGAAATTTTTATTTTACAAAATAATTTAGGTCGATTATAACAAATTTGAGGAAATAATTTGTTATAAGGGGTCTGATGCGGAGAGTTAGTTTTGCATATTATTATTAAATAAATATAAGATATATCAATAAATAATAAAATAGAACATTATTAAAATATGTTTATTAATAACTTAAATAAATATTAGATAAAAATAAATACAAATAATAATACATATTTAACGAATACTTACTTGGAGCAAATAGATATAATATAATCTCAAATCTTTAAAATACCTATCAATAATTTAAATGTGAAGTAGAGACTAGGATATTACGTTTTATTAACACTAAAGTTATATATTTTATAAATGTCTTTTTAACCGAGGACAAATGTAATATAGGTATTGTATTAAAAGGTGAATCCTTTTAACTATTCATTCAATGATAAATAGGTATTTTCCTTCCAAATACAGATGGTGGTATTACTCAGATTACTCTCTTATGTGAAAAATGATTTCGGAATCTAGTCCAGTGATAAATTGATTATCAATTAGTTGTTGTACCCGTTTGTCTTATGATGCAGGTGCATGGTGAATCAATGAAGTTTTTCTCGAAGTTCTCAACGTAGCACCAAAATTATTGCAAAACACAGTAGGAAAAGCGAAACATCACAATTTTGCAAATAACTAAGACGAAACTATAAACAGATACCAAAAGCCAAAACCAACAAAAAATCACTAAAATCAGACGGAAAAATGAGACTAACCAAGAACATAAATAAATACACGTCACATCTTTGGAGTCTTTGGTTAGTTTTTCTCCCATAAAGCTTAAAAATGGAGTAAGAAATCATAATTTTACCAGTAGCCCCATCTAGAATTTGGAGCAAATAGCATAAAAAATGTCAGTTGTCGGTTTTGACCTTGGTCATTCACGTGGAACCTCTATGTGCTTTGTGGTGCCCATCTTCGGAACGTCGCTCAGTGTCGTGCCAACGCGGTTTGCGGTGAATATTAGATAAAATAATAATAGACATTGAGGAAAATATAAAATATGTAAGTTATTTTTTTTTGTTTATTATACTAGGGCACGTGCCCAAGTGCCCTTACGGGCAAACCGCCACTGTTGAGTGATTGTTTAAAATGTCCGCCATTTTCTGCAATACACTAGGCGATTCTGATATTCAGATTTCTTATGCTATTGCTTATTTCTTCTTCTTGGATTCTTCCATTTATTTTTTCCTAATTAATCACTTTATATTCGAAGTATTAAACACTGATTATAAAATCAATATAGATCCGTACCAATAAAATTTGGATTACGGTCCATATTAACCAAAAACCGTCATTGAATGCCACCGCTAGATGCAGAATGAAAAGATATTTCAAATAATGTTATAAAATATTCAGGTCCATATTTAAAAAAAATAAGTTGAGGGTGGTCCGGAGAATACGAAACGTTTGATGCAAAATATAAAAACGTCAAATCAAAGAAAATTTACTATCAAATAAAAAACCTACTGAAGATTTTTTAGTAGTTCTGAAAATAAATGAACGACAACCAAAAAACCGAAAAAATTGAATTTCTTTTTATCGAAATATCTCAAGAACCGGGCCTGCTATTTTCGATTAATTTTCACCGCTAGAGTAGGCTTTGAGAATCGCAACTTTTTCTCCATTTAACCGACTTTCTAACTAGTATGGTTTGGGAATTACTAATACAATCCCATTAAAAAAGTGGCCACCCTGTATAAGGTACATACTACATACAATCATTTTGAAACTGACATTGATGTACCTAACTCAATATTGGTGACTATTCAGACAACCATTAAATATTCAATTCCCTTTTCTTAAGATTATCATCCGGTTACAATAACTTTCATTAAAATTTTTGAGCGTGATAAACTTTGACAGATGTAAATATATTTCTTCTTTTATATGAACTCGTGGTGGGTCTGGAAATTTGAAACAGGAACACGACGCAACTAGGGACAAGAAAAGGCCGCGATCCGACACCTCCTCCAAGATAATGCTCCGAAAGGGGAAAAAACCCAGACAGGACCACAGAGATCTGGGCTGGTACTCTGTGTCATGTAGAATTCTACTTATAGTTTTCTACAATAGAACTCGATTATTTTCTTTTGTGATGAATTCGTTATAAACCGCACGGGAAATATCGCAATGTGGTTTCATATGAAACTAGTTATCCTGTAGCAAGTATATACTCGTTGGTTTTCCGCTATATTACACAGAGTGTCACAAAAGAGAGTAATCGATTTCTATTGTAGAAAACAATAAGTAGAATTCTACATGACACAGAGTACCAGCCCTGTCTGGGATAAGCTACAAGGATGCAGCTACGAGCCACCTGAAAGTAGCTATAATAGAAAAGGGTAACCCTTACGGTATTATGACTACCTTGTTAAAAAGACACTGATGGGAGAGCTGAACAAAACAATTTTGTCTGACTCTTGCAGTAAAACCAAGCCACCCACATTCAGGTTTTGGACGCACTCTGGTGAAATCATCAGAGTAACATGCGACGATGATCTGACGCTGAAATGGCTAAAAACCAAGATAGCAACCTTAAAAACATGGGAAGGAGCAACACTCGCTGTTGTAAGGATGGACGAGCTTCTCAAGCTCACCAAAGCTCACCAAAGCTTACCAAAGCCTCTCTCTGGATCCCAGGGGAAGCGCAAACTGACCTTGACGAGGAAATTGTGCTCGGGCGACTTGAGGGGCAAAACCCAAATTTACATGTGGCGAAATGGTGCACCTTCCACCATAAAACAAACAAAAAACCCAAGGGCCATCTCTTCGTCTTTGGCATCGGAGACGAATAGTAACAGATATACAATTTTATTAACAATACATAGTTGTAATTAGTATCAAGTCATAACAGCAATAATTAATTTTTTGTTTCTAACAATTTTGCAGTTCATGTGGATTAGGCCTATTGAATGGAGATGGCTAATTTTTTTATGTAAAACTTAAATAATTAATAATTAATTAATAAATAAATATGAATAATTTAAATTTTCTTAAGTACGGATCTGTAATTACAAAAAAATAACTCAAAATATTACTAATCGATACATTTTGAATTTGAAAAAATCTAAATCTTCCGTTTCGCTTCGCTTCTTTCTTCTTGCACACCAAAAATCACGTCATAATGATGGCACGATGTTGCATGAGAAACACCTTCTTCCGTATGCATTTTTCGATAAATTAAAAAGTAATTCAATTTTTTGCAACTTTAAGAAAAAATTGTCAAATTTGACATTTTCATAATCACGTGATTGACCATTTACATGTTATTTATTATCATTTAAGCTAAAAATAATGGCAGTCAAAATTTATCTACAGCAATTAGGTAAAAAAAAATCTTAGGAAGAGGCTTATTGGAACTGGTTGTCAATGACCAATTTGCATAATTTTGTTAATTCGAAACCCGCGTAAGTATAGCGAACAGACTATAATGGCTGGGGTAGGTACGTCTCTGCATAGAGGCGACCGTTTGCTGATAACTCAAGTGGTTGGTGTTTTATGACATTATAATATTTCTGTTCTATACTTTACTCCCAACAAATTATTTATAATTAATATTCATTTTAAAATGTAAAAAAGATTCCAGAATCCATTGATGCTAAATGCTAATCGGCCGAACATGAATCCCAACTAATACTGATTTAAACATGTACAAATTTACACATAAATAATTCATGAACCAATTTCCATTTTTACGAAAAAGACCGAAATGACCCACAACCAGAAGTTATTCGAGTAGTTCAAGGTTGCCGTTCCCATCTACCGTTGAAGTCTTTTTGAACGCCAACGAATAAAAACCATAAAAATATATATAATGGGTACATCGCTGTAAAATTGCTGATAATACAGCACTTACCGATAAATTGTATTGACGATGATTGAGTTGGTCAGTACAAGGATAATGCAACACTAATACACAAATCAAAAACCCTTAAAATCCATCAAGAAACTCTATTTGAATTTTACGTATGGAAAGATGACGACAAAATTTTATTAATTCAATAAAAGGTGGACAGTGTAACGTAATTTTTTATATTTGAAGACTAAACTCACTTCTAATGCTAATCTTTCACAGTCATTAAAGAACCTGCAGTTCTATACGCGAACGCAGGACCGGATTTACATATATTTTTTGCGCAAATAACAATAATTATTCAGATCAACAGAATTATATTTTAAATAGATGATTAGGAAAAAATTATGAAGTCCATTCCAGTAGAATGAATTACTATGCAGAATAGAAGAAACGAAGTGCCTTAATTTTTGAACTCATGTCAGTAGCGATCCTAGGAAGGGGCGAAGGAGGTATTCTCCGAGTGCAAAAATCATGGATTCCTGCCATTTAGCTCTTAAACAAGCCTGTTCACGGAATTGAAACACTATTTATTTGTGTACAACTATAACATAGTACAATTAATTTCACTTTTTTAAACAGTGAAATGGCTTTATATGACAGAACTAAAATAAAAATAATAAAAAAAGGAAATAACTTTATAGAAAAAATATCTTCTTAATTTAAGTAAATATATTCTTTATTTGAATCCTGGCATTCTTAAATTAACATTGCTGTGTTCAATTTTTGAATTAAAAGCTATAAATAAGCACAAACCTTGTTAATTTCAATATTAGGAATTTTCTTTGCATACTTTCTTAAATTAAACCGGATGGGTGTTTAACAGGGAAACCGGGAGATTTTCTGGTACGCCGGTCCTAGCGCCAACAGGCGCAACTGCGGTATTTTGTTTTGCTGTTGCTAGATACACGCTAAAATGTACACAAATCAAAAAATTATATACACGCGAAACGTTATATTGCTGTGGTGGGAGGTGTTCGTGTGAATGCGTGTTGTTTGTTTTCATTTACGCCGTGACTAGCAGCTAGCAGTAGTATTTTATAAACCTTAGAAGCAAATTTCACAAGAAAATGAAGCAACGAATTCTCGTAGGGTGGCGGCTTCGCCGCTACCAGAAAATTTTAATCCATACCTGGCTACTCCGACCGGCATGGACACAGCTCACCTACTCTGTCAAGACGTTTCGCGTGCATATAACTTTTTGAATTGCGTACAAGTACCTAGACAGTGTGTTTTTATTTTTTTGTTTTTTTTTTGTTTTTTTTTGTTTGTTTTTTTTTTGTTTTTTATTTATTTTTTTGGTTCTTTTTTGTTTTTTGTTTTTTTTTTGTTTTTTTTTTTGTTTTTGTTTTTGTTTTTTTTTGGTTTTTTTTTTGTTTTTTTTTTGTTTTTTTTTGTTTTTTTAATAGTTTAAAGTTTCAAACAACTGAAAAAGCCAGGCTTTACTTACTAATTTCTTAATCTACTTATTAATGTAAGTCTGTAAATCATAAACATATTACGTTAATTTATTAACAGTGAGGGTTGCCATACGATAATGGGATGAATAATTTCCAGTATATATGAATATAAAAAAATACGGTTTCAAAAATGTTTGGGACAGTAATTCAAAGCCCAGTTTATTAATTATAGCCATTACTATAATAGACTTTTGACATTGCGCATTGTTCTGATGGAACAAAACTTGTCTTTTCGATAATCCAAGTCTTTTCTTCAATATTTTCATCTTTGTTTTTAGAAAAATCAAATTAAAAGAAATAGAAACATGATAGAAACTACTGTAATAAAAACCAATATTTTATTATATAAATTTTATGTACGATAAGTAAGGTAAAATATTATATTCAATATTTTTCTTGGTGTATAGCATTTATTACACTCCATTAATTTTTTTCTCTGTGTTTTATACCAACCATCCGTCTCATAAGTCAAATTCACGGTCAAAATTTTTTTTCTCCGAACTTCAAAGGACCAACAGTTAAGGTACCATTTCGCGACAGTAGACCACAGAGACGACCCCAAGGACGACAGATGCATGAATGTTACGCTCCGCACATTTGGGAAGCGGAGACCGGTGACACGACACTCGCAGACAACCATTCGAGGGAACGATCAGCGTTGCCAGACCTACTGTTTTTAAGTAGATCCACTGTTTTTGTCTCTAGCAAATTTTGTTCTTAATTTATTAAGTTTGCCGCATTCTTCAGCAAATGGTCAAAGAATATTTTCTCTAGTAAATTTGCTGAAGTAAAAGCAGCGTAGGTTGGCTCCATAAAAAAAACATCAAGATAATCATTATGTTTGTATTTAAAATGAAATAAAGAATTAATAGGGCATCATAAAAAGAACATACATGCCAAACACAACGATTTTGAATTATCTGATTTAGACTGATCTAAAAAAAGTAGATACCTATTATTTTTCATTGGTTTTTTTTTTGTTTCCGTACGTTAAGTATATATAAAAAATGTTATTATTTGTTTTTATTCTTTGTTTACTTTCTAATTTGGGTAGAAAAATGTTTATTTTTAATTTCTTATATACTTGTTGTTTTATTTACTATACTGCAAATTATAATTATTTCCCCCTGTATTAAAATCTACTGTTCAGATCTACAGTTTTTTTTTTTCACCCATACTGTTCCAGCATCTGGTACCACTGCCTAGATCGAAAGAACTTTCCAACTACTAATTCTATAAAATATCGACTTTTTTTTTTTTTTTCGATTTATGGCCTAGGTGTATATACCTAATATGCCAGTCTCAAATTTGTGTTTAAATTCTCAATCATGTGTGTTCTGTGTAGGCTTTGTTACTGTTTCCCAGCGCCACTTTAGGAACAGCACTGTTAATTAGAACCCAACAGTGAATGGTCGAGTGGGGAATCCTACCAAGGCATCAGAATTAATTTTTTCTACACCCGTATTATAATAATGCACTTATATGCCCAAAATCCGTTTCATAATGATACCCATTATGATACAGATTTTTCATTATGATACAGATTTTTAATCAATAGAAACCTACAATTTTTCAATCAAGCATGATGTTTGACGTTTGTCCTAAATTCCTATGTAATTGTTTTAGTTGTCAAAACGTATTAAATTTTCGTAGATAGCTAAACTTCGATAATTATAATATTAAAATGTCTGATATCAGCGATATAGAAGACTCCTCCACACATATCGGAGAAAGGAGAAAATGCAGTACAAAATATTTTGCCCCAAAAATCTGTGGTAATACCAATACCCAAGGTAATACCATTAATTACAATTTTGTAGAATTTTTTATAGAAATACGAGTAATTACTGTTATTGTGTTCAATGCCAATATAAATAGAATATTTATAGGTCTTGATTATTTATCGGGTGTAGAAAAAATAGCGTATGCAACTCTCATGTAATGGTTATTAAAACACTCGCATAAACCATACGAAACTCGCCTTTGGCTCGTTTCGTATCCCGGTTAATGCTCGTGTATTAATAACTATCATTACATGATCGTTGCATAATATACTATTAAATAATTAAATTAAATGAAAAAATTCCGGCCAACGGTGGGATTCGAACCTGGGACCCTTGGATCCACAGGCACAGGCTCTAACCACTGAGCCACCCACCCCCCAAATATCGACTTATTAACTCCAAATACTAACGATGTCTGAGGACAGTGACGACTGAGTGCGACACGCAGCAAACGCTTTGCCCGGAGACCGATTAAAAGTCTCGTCGAGATCTGTCTCTCGGAAGTGTCGCGCCGTGCGAAATGTGTTTTATATAATTGCATGTCTTTAGACGTGAAGAGACTGTTCTCGGTCGCCTTTGCCGTCGTCCTTGCCGTCGCCTCTGTGGTCTCCTATCTTCTGTCGCGCCTACCTTAATGGTACCTTTATTGTCGCTTCTCTGTGGATGTTATTTTCGGGTAGGTCATTGCTATGGCCCTGAACCAATATTTCATTCTCAAAGAAACTGTTATTTTAACTGCAAAACTTTAGATTAGAAGTTCCTTAACAAAATTAAGAGTTCCATAACAAAACTAAGAGTTCCTTAACAAAACTAAGAGTTCCTTTTTATTTATGTTTATATGTAATAATAATTATTATAGGTTCTTTTTTTACCTATGTGTTTTTAAACATGTTAAATTAAGTATGGTATCTCTAAACTTTAAGCACGTAATGTACGTCCATTAATTAAGCATAAAACGTTTTTAAATTCAGAAATAATGTACTTAAACTGAGAGTAAAACTTCTTGTTTCAAGCTTCATTTGGTTAAAAGTTTTTAAAAAATTTTCCTACTTTAATTAGGCGATTAAGAGATTTTCTTCGATCAAGAAGTAACGAGATTAATATTAGGTAAAAACTTTTTGTTCAAAACATTTTTAAGAACATCCATTCTATTAGTATGCAGGTTTCTTAAATTAAAAAATACCGTGCTTATAAATTGAGAATAAAACTTTTTTATTTTAAGTATGCATAACCGTCTTTCGTTTAAAATTTTTTAAGCATACACATGCTTAAAATAAGTATGGGGGTTCATAAATTGAAAAGTATTGTGCTTAAATTGAGAATAAATATTTTTAGAGCTTTCACATTGTACAAATTAATAATGATGTATCATTAATATAAATCAAAACTGACAGTGTTCCCAGATTAGAGTCTTGAGGAATACCAGAAGTGAAATTAAATTATTTTTATTGGAAATCTATAAGTTTTAAGTTTTTTTTTTAAGGAAGAATTTAATTGATTTAAAATAGCGATATTTTCGAAAAAATAATTTTTTCTATTTGATCCCCTACAAAAAAATAGGTTGTTCATACCTGATGTAAACAATTGGAAGAAGGATATATCCAGCAGTGGATAAATTCACTATGAAGAAAAATTAATGAAGTAAAAAAGAAATTAAAAAATATTTGATTTTTTTTAATATTTTCCAGGTGGTAGTACCCACCTAATTTTTTTTTGTTTTCAACAACTAAATCGTCAAACTACGGTACTGTAACGTAAACAGGTAGACAAAACTTGTTTCCTCCTCTTACCTGTCTTGAGGTGTAGATCCTACTTTCAGTACTGCTAGACATTGGTTAGTAGTCGATACAGGTTCTTTAGTGAGTGCGTCGTGGAGTACCGTTGGTTCTTTAGTTGGATTTTTTTTTATTTTGTAACACAGGAATTTTGACTGTTCACATGTGGCAATCGTATACAATTTTGTGATATCAACGACAGGTACGTCAATTTTTTTTAAACAAGTCTAGTTTTCGTGTTTAAAACCAACATCTTACGGTCAGTGAGCAATCATTCAGTGGATGCATTTGTTGAAGGTCGAGGTATCCTTCCTTATGGTGTCTATTGTTGGTATTTTGAGAAGATACTTCTTCAGAAAGGGACGATGTTTAAAACTTCCGGTACTACTCTTAAATTGATGATCGAATAAGCAATATATCGTTTTGTAACACATTTACAGCCGCTTTAATTAATTCGAATAAATTAGGCAACGGTTTTGAAAATAGAAAAAGGTTGTAATATCAGTTCACAATCATTGCATAATAAATATTTGTGAAAAATTACATCGATCTATAACAATCTATTAATTTACAAATACCTACAAAAAGCAATATTAAACACAATTATAAAAAATAGGTATGTACTTGCGATTGACAGTCATTTACTTATTTAAACCATATCTTTTTAAATAACATGCACTAATCATCTTCAACATAATTTAAATCCAATAATTACTTATCCAAACTTTTCTTCATTATCCAATTACTAGCTGGATAGTAATATAACTCACCGGTACCTATTCAGTCAAGCTTCAGCAGTGTGAATGAATTTGGGAAAAGCTGAAGCTGAAGAATAACATAAATTTTACTTGCTACTATTGAAAATTATTTATATATACAGTATTAGTAGTAGAGTAGTAATTTTTATTAAATCTAGAAATTACTAAATTACTAAATTACTAAATTACTAAGATGACCATATTTGAGCAGTTGGATACCCTTTTTCAGTTTTTATTAAATCGTTTTATAAATATATTTTTACCGGACACCTAAGGTATCTCCCTCTTTTGTTCGGAATGTTATTCGAAATAAAGTAAAAATGTGGGCGGAGGGACAACTATGATACTCAAAAATTGGTAAACTTAATAGTTTAATAAGAATTTAATACATTAGTTTAATTTAAAATTTTCAAAATCCTTATAAATGACATCATGTTCAATACTGTTCCCTATACTGGACATCTATATTTTCTCAATATCAGATAGTTTAATTGGTCAGTAATTATAAACAAGTTTGTATTTATTTTTGTTGAACGAAAACAATTATTGGGCAGTTACAGAGTCGTAATCCGATCTTCTAAAGAGCTTTTGGGAACTGAAAATTTAACGACTGCTATACCTTTATACTAAACGAAAACTATTAACTGAAAGTTTCATTCTACATTCCTTTTTATAAATAATCGCAATAATAAGAACCAGTCACCTCGAATTTTCCAATATTTACTGTCCGGTACTGGGAATAGTAGCAGTGTCCGATATTGGGGTAAAGCAAGAGGTTAGTACAAATATTTACTAAAAATTTTACTAATTTTTGGGTATTATTGCATTCGCAAATGACCATAGCGCAACAGAATGACAGGTGGTGCTGAACTAACTCTATAAGTGTGATGTACGAATTAAACAAATTAGAGAAGGGCTCTTATGCATTGTAGGAACGAGTCAACCAATACTGTCCTGTACTGGGCACTTTCCGACGCTGGGATTTTATTTTATTTTGAAAAAATTTCGAAATAAACTTAACTCGTAAAAAAATAAGGCTACATATAATTATTATAAGCAGCTAATTGATATCAATAACAAGTATTAAAGGTAATTATGAAAAACCGATTTCAAAATCGTGCAGATGCCGTCATAACATCTTAACGCAAATTTTTATGGAACCACCCTTGAGGTACCCCCTTACTAACAAAAAAGAATCATAGAAATCCGACAAGGTGGTAAAGAATTATCGCTAAACATATATAAAAAATTAAGAGTTTGAGGATTTTTCTCGTGGACTTAATTATTAGTTTTTGACAAAATATGTGGGACCACCTCTGAAGTATCCCCTTTTTAACAAAAAAAGAATTATTTAAATCGGACACCGTGTTAGAGAATTATCGCCGAACATACATAAAAAAAATATTACGACGAATTGTGAACCTCCTCCTTTTTTGAAGTCTGTTAAAAATAATTTAAAAGACATATGGAGCGTAATACAGAACATTAGTAAATCAAAAGGTTAAAAAAAAAGAAATTGATATAATTAAAATCAGTTTAGGTAATCCATTGACAGACAAATATGAATAGCTAATGAATTCAATAACACTTTTACAAAAATGGGTAAAAATCTTGTAAAAAAAAAAATAAAAAATAATAAAATGTTTACATTAAGAGCAAACTGGACCTCTCACCAAGGCAAAAATATTTTAAGGACTTTCTAATATAAAATTGTTTTATTATGCGTACCAGTGAGAATACTTCAGATATTATGTGTCTTGAGAATATAAAACAGCACTCTACAGAGATATTTAAGAAAAAAGGTGGGAAACCCTCCCATTTAAAAACTACTAGATATTTATTTTTATAAATTTAATACAGTGGCGCGTAAATGTTATTTTTATTTCTTTTAAAAACTTAAAATAAATACTTTTCGAAAGTTTAGAAAAAAGTCAAGGTTTGTTATTATTAGTAATATCTGAAAATTTCACAAAAATCGGACTAAAAATAAAGAATAATTGTGAAAATTTGGATATAAATCTTCTACGAAATATTAAGACTATCCACGAACCCCAAAGGTGAAAACAAATACTTGAAGGTTTGAAAAAAGGGCGATTCGAAATTCGTCTCAGTTATCAGATAAACATAAAAAAGGTGTACGATATTCGTCACTTACCATTTAAAGGGTCGATTTTGGAACTACGAAATTCGTCACACTAATCCGATTAAATTTTAATTATTCCACAACCATATTTTAGATATTCAAATACTTTTAAATTCAAATAAAGAACAAAATATATATCGGCACCAAAAATTTCGTTGTGGCACCACATATTGGTACGGTATGAGGACCAGACTTTACTAAATGCTATCAGAATGTTATCAGAATTTTCGTATTAGTGCTTCAAAGTCACTGATCTTATTCTTTTATAGGATTTAGTTCTCACTGTTTAAACTGGAGCGCGCTCCTTGTTATACATCAACTTTGTATTTTATACTTATTTGCTTTCAAAAATTTAACAAAGAGTGCAAGTATTGGAGTGCAGTATTGGAATGTTCCATCCATATATGTTTTGCGACTGACACAAAAATTGCAAATTTCTTTGGCAACTTAAAATTATAATACCTTTCTAGCACAAAGATTTACTTTCTTGAAGTTATGTACAAATATTCATTTAAATAACTGTGAACATCCTGGGCAGATCGAGGCAAAGTAGGCAATGTTTAGCGCCTTCTATTGTACATATTTTGCTTAATACACTTCAAATCGCGGCATGTTAATGTTTCAGACATATTATTTGCCGCTAAATCCTTGTGCATTATTTTTGATGGTCTTTCTGTAAGATCCTCTTCTGTTTTTTTTTGCACGCCCGTGGTTATGTTGATTTTTTACCGTCGCACGAAAAAGCTGCCAGGTTCTCCCACAGTGTACACATATACATGAAATTTTGGCCGTTTAATGCACTTCCAAACAAGTTCATTTGTGGTACGTCGGTATTCAGAAAACATAATTTTCATGTACAATTTGAGGTTTTCCACGTTCACTTACAATTTCTTTTGCAAACGACATTTTAAATTTTGCGACAGGTATACAACACACACTAATGACAAATGGTAAATAAATATAGAATATACTTTTAATAATCGACACCCGAAATGTACTAACTAAATAAAAATAATACCTCCTTAATCCCTTGACGACCTAATAATAATAATGAAAAATCTAATTACCCAATTATTAATATTGTTCACTTCTACTGTTCCCTGAAAATTGTTCAAGTTGGCCTCTAAATACCCATTAAGCACCCCTTGAACAAAACTGTATCAACAATTTCATTGTACATTATACCAGGATAGCTATTCACTAAGTCATGGGAGCGCTCCCATGGGAGTGCTCCCATATATTTTGCTCTCTTACTCTTAGGTTGGTATATCGTGCTTACTCACTTTTAGCCCAGGTACATGCGTAGTAAGGTCAGATTTTATACTATGGGAGGGAGAATTGCGGGCTTGCCAGATTAGGTCCGTATTTATCACAAAGCAAATTTGAACTACTAAGGGCCGATTCCACCGTTGAGTTAAACGGAGATTAAAATGACATTGTTAATGTAAAAATGTCATTTTAAACTTCGTTTAACACAACGGTGGATCGGTCCTTAAATAGTAGATCAAAGTTATTCTGTCGACTTGGCAACGTTGGCATGGGAGTATGGGAGCATGGGAGTGTGGGAGTGCTGCCATGAGTTAGAGAATAGGTATCCAGGTAAACCTTAATCCTTTTTGGACCATATAAACTGCAATCGTTGAACGTTAACATTTTGAAATAATATTAAATAATAACTTAATGATATCATATATTAATAGTTTTATAGTTTAAAACTAATAGTAACAAAAAATAATTCGTTTCTAATCTTTAAAATGTCACAGATGATCAGGCATTTAGATTAAAACAGGTATGCGTGTTCGCAAAGCCCAAGAGCCATTAAAAGGGCTGTGTGACGAATTTCGTATACCCTTAAATTTTACCTGAGAAGTTTGTCGGCCTAGATAATAAAGTTGTGACTAATTTCGAACCGCCCTGAAAAAAGAAAAAATTTACGCTGTTGGGATTCGAACCCAGACATCTTTGTTTTGTACACAAATGCCCTTACCGCTAGACCATGACGACATTGACTGTCGAGATTGCTTGACAGCAATTTGATATACTAGTTCGGGCCAGACGCCGTTTCAAGCTCGTTCACAAATCTCCAAATACCTTTATATAGCATAAATACAACTGCAAGGGTAGAAATGAACCTGGATTTAATATTTAAGTACCGTCCCATTTATAAAAGTAATGCTTCATGTTTAATTAATATATAGGCAGTTTTTTATCGTTTCCCTATATTGTTAAACGTATAATCGAAAAGAAACCTCATTTGAAAATTTCACAAGTTTTATATCAATTATTTTCCTTCTCCATTTT